CTGCCCGGGGAGGCTGCGGGCTGCCAGTGCCCCCGGGCGGAGCGAGGGGCTCGAGGGGAGTGGCGCGGGGCTGCTGCGGGCACCAGCTGGCGGTAGCCCTGGCCAGCGGCGAGGGCTCGGGGGCTGCGCTGGGCATGGGGGCCGCAGCGTCGTCCCTCCTGCCCCTGCGCTGCGGTGCACAGTGCTGGGAAACTGCCCCTGCCAGGCAGCAGCTTGATACCCTGGGGCCCTTCGTTGCAGACTCCCTGGCGTCAGGCGACGACGATGAGGACGGCGACGGGGACGTCCCTCTGGGGGATTCGCGCGAGGAGCTCCAGCACGTCCGCAGAGGTCAGTGCTGCGGCCAGGCTGCCCCAGGCCAGGTGGCCAGGGAGTCCCCCTTGCCTGCAGCCTGGCCCCACCACACGCTTCCCCAGGCCCTTTGCGCTCCACCGTGGCTGCCCCGAGCCAGCCGGCCGGATCGGGCCCTGGCTGGGGAGCACTGAGCGTGCACAGTGCCCCTCCCTGCACGCTGTGCCTGCGCCTGCCCTGCAGCACAGCCCCGAGCGCAGGCCGCCTGCCCGGGCAGAGCCCCCCCGCCCACACGCACCCTGTTCCCGTGGCGCCATCGCTGGAGCTCCCGTGTCGTCCTCAGCGCCCTACTGGACGCACCCCCACCGCATGGACAAGAAGCTGTACGCGGTGCCCGCGGGCAACACCGTCAAGTTTCGCTGCCCGGCGTCGGGGAGCCCCAGCCCCGGCATCCGCTGGCTGAAGAATGGGCACGAGTTTCGGGGAGAGCATCGCATCGGCGGCATCCGGGTGAGGGAGCGGGGCTGCCCCTGCCTTCTCCAGGGGCCTCCGGGCTGAGTTTGCAGCAGAGGCCCTCCGGTAGAGACCCCCCCTGCCAGGCCAGGCACCAGCTCCAGGAGCCGGTGCCCTGCAGGGAGCTCTGCCCAGGTGCCAGCTGCCCCTCACCGTGCTCTGTCCCGTCCTCCCCGCAGCTGCGGCACCAGCACTGGAGCCTGGTCATGGAGAGCGTGGTGCCCTCCGACCGCGGCAACTACACCTGCCTGGTGGAGAACAAGTTCGGCAGGATCCGCTACAGCTACCTGCTGGACGTGCTGGGTGAGCCCCGCTGGCCGGCAGCACGGGGGGCTGATCCTGGAGTCCTCCCTCAGCAGGAAGCCTGCGAGGAAGGGGCCTCTCAGCTGGCGCAGACCCCCGGGGAAGGCTCTGCTCCCATGTGGGCTGCCTGAGTCGGGCCCCTCCCGCGCAGCTCCTGGCGCAGCATCAGGGCCAAGGCCCTTGGGAGCTGGGAGATAAGAGGTCGCTGATCCCTCGGCAAACTTCAAAGGGCCTCTGGGAGTGTCGGGGTTGTAAAGTCCAAAGCGAGGAGCCAGCATACCAGCGCCCCCCCCCCCCCCCTTTTTTCCTGATTGCTCCTTTTCAGGGCCGGGCGGGGGGGGGGGGGGCGGGGCGGGCGGGG